AAGATTAAACAATCCAAAGGCTCTTTTCAGAGCCACCCACAACATCCTAAGAGAGCTCAGTTATCCATGCTATAGTTAAGCCATTTTGTACTAATTACTCAACCCGTGTTTCTTATATTTTCCATGTTTATTAACAGTATTTTTGGCTTGGTGATAGTAGCAACGCTATCCACGTTTTTATTAACACAATGTCGTGCCGAAAAGTCCTCCCGAAAGGAAGTTCTTCCTATTATCTGATGTTTTGCGTTTAGTTCTTATGCCAGAGACCATTCCTCCCGCCTCTTCCGGACTTTTCTTCTCCGGGAGTGGCTGAGGCAGCACCAGAGATACGAGGCGTAATCGTCTTCGAGGAAGGCGGGGAAGTGGTAGCGGGCCGGGCTCTCCGCTGGCCAATCCTCGGTCAGGGCGGGCTTTTTCAATATTTAAAGCGTCTTTCTCATCAGGAACAAAAGGACTGGGAGAGCTCAGGGCTATTTCCGGGTCAGTAAGAAAACCCTCCCTCTTCCTCCCCCAAACAGACAAAACGACTTAATACAGCTTAGGAGAAATAATACAATAGGTTAGACTTGGCTCAGTAGCAGCGTGCCTGGTAATTACTGCATTACTTTTGTTATAAAATACATCCTTAAAAAACATACATCCGATTTTTATCAAATTATTACTATAAAACATTGTTTCCTGGTAGTCAAACAAATTACTCGGGGGAAAAAAAGAAAAGTATGAGTCTACCCTTCCCTAAAGCCACGGCATTATACCTTGTTCATTAGCATTTCTTTCAGTAATCATACTGGGGCGAATAAAAGAAAAAAAAGTATAATTGACCTCCGACGACTTACGAATTGCTGGATCCTTGGCTGCAGGTTACTGACGACCTCGTTGCCTCAGCTCCTTTAAGGAAAGTGTGGGTGGCTCTTAAAAGAGCCGTTGGATAACGAAGTATGTAGAGCAAGACTCTCCTGGCATGATTTACTTCTTCTTGGGCGCCGTCTTCTTTGCCTTGGCTGCTTTGGGCTTGGCCGCCTTGGGCTTAGCTGCTTTGGGCTTCACCGCCTTGGCCTTGGCCGGGCTCTTGGCTGCCTTCTTAGGGCGGCCAGCCTTGGCTGCTTTCTTGGGGCTCTTGGCAGCTTTCTCTGCCGGCTTCTTCGCTTTCTGGGGCCTCTTCTTCCCCGCCGCAGCTTTCTTGGGCTTCTTAGCGGCGCTGGCGGGCTTCTTGGCTGCTGGCTTCCTGGGCTTCGCCGCGGCCGCCCTCTTCTTGGGGGCCTTCTCCTTTACTTCCCCAGGTTTCTTATTAAGACGGAAAGAGCCAGAAGCGCCAGTACCCTTGGTTTGCACCAGGGTGCCCTTGCCGACGAGGCTCTTGAGCCCCAGCTTGATCCGGCTGTTGTTCTTCTCCACATC